CAATATAATGGAAAATAGTATGCATTATAATTAGTATAATATAGTAAAATAAAAACTGTTGCTGGACCATAGTTAAAGAAAAACATACAGCATTTTAAGAAAAACAATACTTCAGGCAGACATCTCATGAGCCATAGAACCTCATTGATTTTACAATTCTATGTACATCATCTTTTATTGGCTTTAGTTCTCTAGCTAGTAATTACAAAACAATTTTTTTTCCAATTTTAATATGCAATAAAATATCAACGTATGCTCTAGGGTTATCATTTATTGAAGTGTACAGTGTAACTAGGACTGAAAAGGTCAAGGGATGAAGACTAGTAAGGTAATAACTTGAAAAAAATCCCACCTCATTGATAAAGGACAACTGACACCACATTAAAGCACCAAAGCATGGACTGGGTTCTGCATTTATAGCTAACAGAAAAAAATTCTCATTTAGACTACAACCAGTTTTATTAGATCCCAAGTGAAATCTCAAAGTTGAGAGCAACATAATAATGTTCTAAGTAAATTAACTATTTTTCTGTACTCTTAGGTGGTGGTTTCTTCTCAAATTAATGTGAATTTAATTTATTTAGTTAATGTGAATTAGTTTGGGGGGGGGGAGGGAAGGGAAGTAAATAAATCTATGTACTTCACTCTAAAAAGCAAGCTGTTTCTTTCCTAATTCTGTTATCCTTTTTTGGGTATCATAGCAGCTATATCCCTTTCACTTTTTATAAAGCCCCAGACAGCACAGATTATCTTCTGAGCTCTTTTATGAACAAAATGCAATGTCCATTTACAGCTCTGAACAGTTTAAGAGCAAGTTAAAAGATGGTATCTCTTACAATACTCAAACTATGACATATGTCCGATGGACTTGCATTGCCCTGGCTGCAGTTAATTCTTCACTGTATACTTTTTCTCCTGTCACCATAAGAGTCACCACTTTTTCATGGCAAAGCAAAGATTGGTGAGCAACTATGTATACCTATGCAAAAATAAAGCACTGTGATTTACAGCACATGTCTTTGACATACTTTCATGTAACAGCATTGTTTTCTTCCAGAGCCAAGGATTTCAGTTTTAGGCATATACATAAGCATTATATACAAAAACCTAACACAATATTTAGCAAATGATGGGATTTCAATTAAGTGCCCCTGTTTTGCTTTCGAACTCTCTGAAAATCATGTCCTCACAGGAAATCTCTATGCATTAAATTACATGATTCTTACAGAAAAATAATTACAAGCACTGACTTCAGAACATCATAAATCATGAGCTACATTATATGAAATGTGTCTTTCAGACAAACACGACACTTCTAATCATAGATCACTATTATTGTTACAGTGACAAACTGCACATAGTAAAAAGGACAACCTGTATATAGATATAAGAACCAATTTTTGAGGGAAAATAAATTAGACACACATTTCACATATAACACTTCTTATTACTAAATAATGGAAGATATTTTAACAGTCTGTAAAGAAAAAAGTATGTAAATATAAAGGAGATAAAAGAATCATCTAGGACACTATATAAAAGTATAAATTAAGCAAGACAGAACAGTCATAATATCTAGAAAAAAAGCCCATCTTGTCACCAGTATATATGTCAGTCAATAAGTTCCTAAAAGAATTAGTGAAAATAGGCTACCTGACCAATTCCAAATTAGCTTGGAAAATACATTAACATATGTTCCTTAAATACAACCACACTTATCTTACACTATCAGGGAATGAACTAGAAGGTTTAATGATTCTTTTTGGTTCACAGTTTTTACAAAGGCAGCTGTTAAGAACAACAATGCTGCCATTTACAAATGGGATTAATATGTCTTGAACCTTAAAAATCTCATTACAAGTTTTGAAAAGCAGAAAAAAAAAGTGTTATCAGTATTTGGCCAAACATATTCTATCTACGTATCATCTTCTCCAAATAAGATTTCATACCATGCTGTTGCAGCATAATTGCCTTGCAAGGTACTTCCTAGAAGTTGCTTCTTTGCAACTGTTCCAGCTGAATACGAACTTCAGAAACGAGTGCAATAGACACCTCAAATTAAATAGGTCTTGGTTCATAACTGGAAATGATTTTTCATTAGGTAGCTACAGTATTTTTTTAACAAAATTCAAAAATGCAAAAATATTCCCTGCAATCACATGGACAAATTTTAAATACCTGAATAATTGATGCAGTAAGTTGAGTTACTGATGCCTGGCATCCTTCAACATGATCCAGAAGAAAGCTAATAGTTGGATTCTGACATATATTCTGTTTGTCTTGGAGCTGTCTTCTTCCTTCCTCATTCAAAAGGACAGAGAGGAACTGTAAACTAGCCATATATAAAGCAGGAAATTTGGTTGAGAGGTGAATACAGTCACAAATGTTATCTGCAAGATAAAACAAAAACATAAAATTTTTTATATTTCATTCTGAATAAAGCTTAAGTGCTTCAGAACTCAGACTTATCAAGGTGTGTGAGCCAAGAAGCAGTTATATCTGTGCACTGCACAAGGAATACTACAAATTCTATGCATTTGATGTCTTTAAAAATCTAAGAAAGAAAAGTTTGAGTTTTATAGGTCTGAATGAAGTAATTGGCCCATATTAATTTGACTGTAAAACAGAAAAGCAACTTCCATTTGCTACACTGCTCATTTGTTCAACAATTTTCTGAACTCTCCTCACTTTATTCAACAGTTTATGTTATCATACCAACAGTACTCATCAGCTGCTTTACGGGCAATTGGATTTGGATTCACTAGATGACTTAACATGTACCTGGCTGAAATCACAAGCTTGAATGGACTACACTCTTAATTCAGTATTGAAACATGTCAGACAATCTTGGTGACCTAGAGCCCTGACTAGGCAAGCAACTAATGAAGGAATAATTTAAAAAGAAACAAACAAAACCCTGTATAATAATCTTGAATTCATACATCTCTCAACTTCCCCTCAAAACGTTGCTATCTTTTTATTTATGATATTAAAAAAACCCATAAAAGGAAAAAAAATGAAGTGCTAACGCATCATTTCAGGCTCTACTCACAGGTGCCGTAAAGGTTTACTAGAATCACAAACCCATATATGCAAACAAAACTTGTGAACTTACCTGACAGTTCAAAAGTTAGTCCAACAATACAACAAAGAGTTATAAAAATTCAGTTAAGAAAGGAAGTCAGTCAACCTCTGGACACATTTGGGTTTCATTCTGGATATGCCATTGCTAATTACTTAATAGCATCTAAACAAGAATGCCCCTCTTTTCTGCTTGTTTATTTTATTAGTTGCTAGGTTAAAACCCATCCAGAAATAGTTATTACCAATTATTGCTGTACAATGATTTGCAAGGGCTTCTGTCACAGATGGAAAAGATATTTGGCCACTCTTCCACAATAATGTAGCTAGAAGGTTGAAAAAGTCTACCCAGGTTTCATGAAGTACAGATGTTATCTCAGTATCTGCAGATACAGAAAAAAAGTCAAACAATTTACACATGTGCACAAACCTGAATAGCTAAGCCTGACAACAACTGCCAATTTAAATGAAGGTGGTATGTAAATGAAGAGCTGCCTCTGTCTGGCTATACTGGAAACAAAGGACTTCATTACCTAACCCATCTTTGGAACGAATGGCGAGAATCGTGAAGCTATTTCCCAAGAGAGGTTTCAACAGATCATCCTGGATTACAAGCTGAGAGTCCACCAATAAACATGTTTTCAGAAGCTGGGACATAGATGACAGGTATTGAAGTAGTAATAACACCTGTTAAATATTTTTTAAAAGGTATGAAATAAAGTCATATATTTGCACCTTTCACATTTTTTTCTTATTTAAATACTTATATTACATCAACTGATTCATAACATTTTGAATTAATATACACCACTTAAAAGAAATAATGGGATATAAATTAAAAATTGTTATCCTAATTTTTACTGTAGAAGATGAAAAGTAGATGATGATAATAATGATAATAAATGAAAAGAAGAAGATGAAAAATAAGCATGGAATGTGTCAGTAACTGCATCTGGCTCGTACTTCAATACCATACAAAAAAATTCTATTACATGACTTCTGTAACTGTTAAACTCAATTTGTACTTTTAAACCACAACTGGTTTTCAGTTTGATGGTTCTATGTATAGGTCCAATACAGAAATTAATTGTTCTGTGTTGAATATAACATGGTTTATTTTCTCTTGTACCTTGTCAAAAGCACAGGAATTCACATGAATGTAGACTATAGTAGTGTGTCTGGACTATATTATGCAACCATAATTCATTTCATAATTCAAAAAAATTAGAATGTAATAAATGCTTCTCTAACCTGAGCTTTTACGTGTTCTATATGACATGGATGACCAAATGGAGCTTTCAGTTCCAAGATACATCTCTCAAGCAGATCAGCACTTACAAGACTAAAATAAAATAAATTGGTTAGAAATAAATAATTAAATATTCTACAAATTCAACATTCCATAAACGAGGAAATTTTAAATAAGCAGAATAAAAATAAATTATGAAGCTCTTCCTTAACATAGTGGGGTTTAGCAGTAAGTCTAGTGTAACTGTAAGTAGCATGAAGTTCTTTCAAAATAGTTAGACAAACATAAATTCCAATGGCTGTTAGTGCACTGGTAAAAATTGTTTGTTTATATTTGATTGCTCATTTTCTTTCCTGTAGAAGAATAAACAGCTCTGTAATAATATAAACTGTATTCAAACAAGGGTGGGTTTTTCATTAATTGCAGTATGAAGAGAAAAGCTCTTGAAAAGCTTACAAAAAAAATGAATTAATTTTCATGCTTCACTTCAGGACTTCCAAACACTTTCTACAGATGAAAGAATTTGTTACGATGCAAGTGGAAACATGGAATACAATCTGGAAACTATTTTGAAGTGGTTCCTTCTTTAAAAAAAGAAACAAATCACTAGGTCTATTATTCAATACTTTCACAAATCTGGCAAGCATTATTTACTCTCTTTTACTGTGACAGCCCTTGGCTCATCTTCAAAATACTGCACACAATTCAAAGAAGAAAATTATAAAATGAACTGATCTGCTATTCTGAATACCTGACTATATCTTGTACTGCTCTACTAAGGAAAATAAAAAATTTAAAAATTACCCCTCCAAAAAGATGACTAAATGGCCACCTATCAAAAACCTAAAACATTACCAGAGCAACACAGTAGTCCTGTAGAAGACAGACACCATAAATGGAACCACCAGTGACTACTTTTTCTGTGAAAAAAAGAAATAATCCAAATTTTTTTCTTTTGTGGATTGTATTTTTTTAAAAAGATATTTTTCAACACATCAGAAGCAAGAAGTGATCAATGTATTTAATCATTTTGGTAAGAAACACTGGTAGAGCTCATTTCAAACTTTTCACCTTGTTTGCTACACCTTGGTTCAGCAGTCATTGATCTCATACCTGCTGAGAGCTGTTAGCAAATGTGCTTGTTGAAGAGCAATTCCAGTATCTTTTGGTATGACAACCAGCAGGTTGTGCAGAAGGCTGCAAACAGCTGACAAAAGGGCAGGTGTGACTACTGCACGCTGTTTAGACAGTGCAGCAGACATGGGAGAATCATGCTGACTTGGAGATTCTGTTGTGGTTGTATCACTTTGACCTAGAACGTGTTTAAAAACAACAACAAAAAACAACCCACAACAGATTAACGCAGTTACATAAACCAAATTGTTTTGTTTTGTTTTTCATAAAATATCCAAGTTACCTCTACATTTAAAACAGTGTATTCCGGAACAAGAAAAAAACAAACAAAATAACCCCCAGGAAATCAGATACAGGAAAAGCATAATTTAAAATAGCTCTGATATAAATGTTATTTCTACAAGGCACTAATAATTGTTAAACAGTGAATCTGGAAAAATATATATTTTTACTTCTTTCCATAACAGAGAAATATTTTATATTTCTACACAGTGCTCTCTACATACATAATTTAATATATTTTTTTTACATTGTATACATTTTTATCTTTCTACATATAAAGAGAATTATATATACATCTCTGCGTGCGTATGTGTGTACATGCACGTAGATGACAACTTTAACAAAATTGATTGTTTTGAAAGGGTGACTGAATGCCCAGAATAGAACCTAAGTCTTGAGTTACATTTCAAGCGTATCAACCATTTTTACTTACTTCTGTCAAATGTATTTCACTTTATTTTATTTTAAAGGAAGTGTTTCATGTTTGTCTTCTAAAACAACCACTTGAAGCAGCAATGATGACTGTTCCAGCAATATGCAAGCTTTATATACATGTACAAATACTGGAATATGGGCAAACTCATACATCATATTCATCATTATGTTCACAAACTCAAACTTTGACTTACCTTGTGCTGTAAGCCGATCAACTACAGTTTCAGGAATAAAACTGGTTGAATTTGTTGGGACTGTTGCCCGAAGCTCGGTAACACTCCCCAGTGATGGCGATGCAGACAGAACCTAGAAAGCCATAAGGAAATCAGTTGATTCTAGCTTTTATAGACCAGACTTCTATTTAGATTTTTTTCGGGGGGTGGGGGGGCAGGGGGAAACAATCCACCAAAACCAGCAAATTTGATTAAATCTTGTTCACAATATGTGTGTGTATATATATTTATTTTATAAACATTCAATAATTTAAACTATTCAAAGATGTGCAATACGAACAGCCTGAAACATTTCAGTTAAAAACTGATCAATGCCCATTTTACTGGAAATTCCTCATCTTCATCCCTCTTTTTCATCTGTATAATTGACTCATTCTATGTTTGGACAAAGATAAAGGCATTACTGAAGCATTTAAACCCAAATTTTTCATGGTCTTTTTGCTCTGCTAAGAACATCAGTGCTTGTCCATTTGTACCAGGACACATTCAGATTAAAATATCACAAGCATATTAGTCATCAGACAAAGTTGATGTTGCAGAGTCTTTCCAACTCTGGATACTTCTCTTAACCTTAGTCGTGTGATCCCTGTATGTATTCATTTCATAGTGAAGATATGAGATATTTACATGACAGTAGATAATTTTACTGTCATACTGCCATGCTCCTCCCACCCATTCTACATTATCATATTATTAATTTTGCATGCTATCAAAAGTTCTTAATGCTCTTGCTACTGTGTATAAAACCACAAGCATGAGATCAGAAGATCTAGAGTCTCCAGCTTAATAATATGCTTTTGTGACATGAAAAGACCTGGGACCCGTTTCAGAGTATAGAATAAGTATCTCCCATATCAGGTCACTTTTTCACTCCTGTTTTTTGGATAATTCGTATCATATACACTGTATAGTGACACTCCTGAAGAAAATATAATGAATACAGTATGCTAGGGAATCCAATGAAACCCCAACACAGTCTCAGCTTGAAGGAGGATGTTATTAGACTTTTCTTCACAGTGAACTTTCTAAGGAAGAGTGAAATACTTCAAAGGTTTTCTTTTTAAAGTTTTATTAGAATATCAGTTGAAATATTTTGTTATCTAAAGGAAAAGTCAAAAGTGACTTAATTTTCGAAAAGGGTGAAGGTAAGGAAATCACAGATTACTCGCTTCTTAGCTATTGTATCCTTGCCATTAGGTCACTGCTTTCCAGCTTTGGCTTTGATCTACCCAGCAGCATTCTGAGGTACAAGAACTCTCTACTTAGTACTTTCACATCTCCTAGAAAGTTTAACCCCACCTCCCGCCCCCATCACTTCAAAATATCGTTAGGCTTTTATCAGCACATCTTTACTTCAGACCTCTGTCCCTGTATGAGCTAAAGGCTGCCATCTCCATGATGTAACTCCCTTCTCTTCCCTATTTTCATATGTTCTCCCACTACTGTCCATCCTACAGTCTTGAATCTTTCTCCTAAAGTATGCTCAGTTGTTCCTCAAGAAAAGCCAGATTACTGTAACACAGAAAACAAACTACTCTAACATTTGATGTGTGTATCTACAATCCAGGATTCACATAAATACTAGGACAAGCCTGGCTAAATTATTTTCTCGTTAGCAAAATGCAGTACCAAATTGTAGCGACCAAATGAAATGCAAGTTCTGTTTAGATTATCCAGATAAAAAACATATCTGCCAATTGGAATAACCTATTTAGTTTCAAGCTTGCTGATTGAAATAATTATTAAAACCCATTATTGATATTAAATCAATCCATCTTGACACATGGTAAATTCTGCATTTATTCAGCATTATACTTCAATTCCAAGCATTCTATTAAGTGACAAGAAACATAACTCTTTCTTAAAATGTACAAACCCCAAATGCACCTTCTAACAGTCCATATGGTTCTGCAACAAGTAAAGCCCTAAAAGGAATTATTACTATACTGGGATTTATCTTAAAGATTATTATGAACTATACAAGCTTTCACATGTTAGTATCACCTACATTGCACAACAATTCTTTCTCCATCTTCTACAACTGTCTAAACACTTTGAGTAAAGAAATGAAAACAAGTTCCTAAAATAGGTTAAATAAATAAATAAATAAATGCTTTACCTAGTTAGAAAAATATCAGCTTCCTTCACTGACAGAACATTTATTGCTAATTCCTTCACAGTGGGACATGGGTTAAAACCAGAAATTTATTGCTATCTTAACAGAAAACCTACAGTAAACAAAAAGTTGTTTCCACAGTATTCTGCCTTCCAGGAAAGAAAAGATATTACCACTTTTATAAATGACCTTTGGTAAATATGATCTAGGAGTCTGGGACATTGTACCTAGCATTGCCACCATATTCTTTCTAGGAGCAATGAAGCATTCTGTTGCTTAACAGTGAAACAGACTTTGGAAGGGAGTTTAATTGGAGAAAAGAAAAGGTTGTGGCAGGGGGTGGGAGATGACAATTGCAGGTTAGAACTAATACAAAAGAATACAAAAATTGTCTTGAGTGGAAACACAGGAGAAATGTGAGGGTTTTGCCGTTTATCTACTAGATATGAATAAAATGTCTTTTCTTAACCTCTAGTATAAAAATCCCTATGGCATTGCTTTAATAGGCTTGCAGTGATTAATTCTATTCAGTTCTCTTTTCAAAGGTTTAAATCACTTAACTATATAGCACTCGGGTAACCATGGTTCCAGAAAATAAAGCACGCATTTTTATAAAATAGCAAGATTTCACGGGAAAGAATGGCCATGACTTAAAGCTATCTGGTCAATGTCTGTAGATCTTTAACTTGCACCATTTTTAGCTCAAGTTTTTAAATAAGTGATCATTTTGCTAAGCTGTCCTGGGCACAGAACAGCCATCGTGTATTTCTGCAGTTTGAAGCTAGTTGGTATCTCTATGCTGATTGGTGTTCTGTCATACATAACACAAAGCAAACATATTGGTTAAAATAAGAATAAGGATTTGTCCTGTGCAATGATAACCTGAGTTAATGTTTAAACTAAGAATTCTATTAAAAGACAAAGATTTTAATTCTCTCAGAATTGGACTTCGTGCAGTATCTGCATTCCAGTTTACAGAAAAAAAAAAAAAAAAGATAAATTTGACAAAAATCTGTAATCCACTGAGATCTTAAAGACATGAAATACAATGCATATGAGTTAACAGAGTACAGACAATCCAGCTCTGCTACTGTCTTTTAGGTGACCTTGAATCATTGATTTCATTCCCACATCTCTATTCTTTATTCTATAAAATGAGCAAAATTGTCCTTATGTATTCTGCAAGACCTCTGACATACTATTTATAGACTAAAGTAAAACTAGAAAGAGTTGTTATTAATATACTTGGTTTTTAATTTTCTCAATTTTATTTTCTGCAAATTTGGGGAAAAATGTGGGAATGAGGAAAAAAAGATGAAGCCAAAAAGTAATTTAGATTTTATTTTCACTTAAGGTCATAGGAACCCTGTGTGAAATCATCATTTGATATCAGATAGCTACAAGTATTGATTACATTAAATCTGAAAACAGAGAAAACTAATAATGTCTTTTTCTATTTGTCAGAACTGTTTCCAAAAATAATAAAAATCATCAGAGCTTTTCTCTTCACAGAAAAGAAATTGACATATTTCAGTAAAAAGACGTCACCTTCTGCAAAGATCTTCAGGATGGGGCTTACTGAACAAAAAAGCAGTTTCAGTTTCCTAGACTGACATTCATAAAATGAATGTATATAGACATATTTTGAAGAACTTTTATTAAAAAAGTAAATAAAATTAAAGTAGCAGAGAAGAGCTTCTGGCAGAAACAATTCTACTTAGTTTTATAGCTAGTAACACTCAATTATTTGAGGCTGTTGTCATCAAATCTGTACCACACAGAAAAAAAAATCTTTCCCTTCAGTAAGACCTGCAGACTCTTTCATCTGTGATAGGCAAAGCATGCCATCTAGTGGGCTTGGAATAACTACATATTCCTGGTACTATCAACATATAAAACTTCGACAAACTTTCATTAACTTTTGGTAATGACTTCAAAAATGTATTTCTTTTATTCATATGTCAAAATGGAAAGCTTTGGGCCAAACTGTATGAACATAAAATTTCAAGTTATATAGGAATAATTTGCAAATGCCTGATTTCAGGACAAGTTTGAGCTTTTAAAATTATTTCCAAAATTTACTAGATAAACACTTAATGGTCATTAACTGCCCTCACTTTGTACTTAGCCTCAGTTCCCTTCCTCTATCTTTCTTCTCCTAATACTGGCATTGGAACATTAGACCTCTGCATCTTTCCTTCAAACTTAGAAATTTAGCATCTGTCATGTCAGCACAGTTTTGGGTTTTTTTCTGAAGGTAAGAAACTTAACGAAACAAGTTTACAGCTGCTAAAAAGGCCCATGAAAGACAAACAGAAATTAAATTAACTTATATGAATGACAACCAAAGATTTTGTGTGACATCTTCATACATATCAGGGGAAAAAGGAGAACAAAACAAAAAAACCCTTGAAATAAAGTTCTTACATTAGCTGTAAGAGCATAATCTTAGCAAATATGAAGTCTACAACATCTGGAAGACATATGAGTATTTTAGTATTACTCTGTGCTTTTCACTTTAAATAATTAGTTATCCATTTGTTAAATGAAATTGTAGAGTTATGCTTTTATGTTAAACTATTATGCTACTTTACACATAAAAATACATTAATTTTATCTGGTAGATTCCAAATTATTTATTCCTCTTATTTTTTTAATCTACTGAAGTAATTTCATGTAAAGAACTCTTCAATTCTTCGTGAATACTCAGGCACAATTTTAAGTAGAATAGACACTCAACCCTGTTAAGAATTGCTGAAATTTAACTTTTCCCTCAAGTAACATGAAATAAGATAAATTTTGTTCAAGTTTTATTTCAATAAGTGACACTCGATTTACTCAGTAAAAAGCAATATAGAAACAACTGCTTTTAAGCAACTTGAAATTCTTAACTAATTTTTTTTTTAACAGTATCCATGGTAGCATCTACTTCCTGATTTACATGCAATTTCAATTATTTTAGTTTCAATTATTCAAATTTGAATATTTGTGTTTAAAATAACCCTAAAGGATTTTTGGAGGTTTGGTTTTGTTTTAGATAAATGAAAAACAAATTCATTAAAAAAGAAGAAACTTTAGCTTAACACTAGAGTATACTTTTCCCTCAATTATAAAAAATATTCCAGATAACAGTAACAGTAATAGACAGCAAAATATTTATAATAGAGAGTCAAAACAGTAAGGAAAAATTATAGTTGTGAAGTATTTTGAGACAAAATTTCAATACTGTTTTTTCTATTATTTTTATTTTTATCATGATTCACAGCAAAACTGGGCATAACAATTTTAGTCAATAAAATTAGACGGTTATTCATAATCAAAAAATCTTTGAAGGAAATATAAAATTATAAAAATAGACTTCAGTGCAACAAATCAGAGTTTTATTGGCATTATGATGCAGTCCTTTAAAATAAATTATTTTTATCAGGTAACTAATGAGTGTTATAAAAGCTTCTTCCACAGCCTGATCTGATATTGCAAATACTCTGGAACTGGAAGAATATATTTCAATTTCTCTTCCTTTGCAATTGCCATCTTGAAAGACAGCATATGTTTACAGCCCTTCATCCTAGCCAGAAACAAATTTTTCAAGCAGCCACCTGCTTTCTTGTATCTTTCATATCTATTTTGGGTCTTGCAAACACTTGTGCCACTTTTATATTTTATAAAAGCATTTTCAGAAGCCAGAGTTTATTATGACAGAGAATATAATTTTAACCCAGTGTACTTTTGTGGTTTTGATTGATCCAGTTCTGTAGCTGTGTAGTGTAAATATAGGTTCACTCTGAAAGGACAGTTTGGATAAAAGCAGCAGAAGTGACAACTATAGATGAAGATGACTGCATTTTGTCAATAAAGCCAATTACAAAGTAATCTCTAGAGAATATGTCTTGCTGTGAGAAGCTACAGAATACAGCACTGCCTTATGCATTTAGCTAGTCAAGGTAAGCTATTTTATTTATTTTTGCTTGGGTAAATAACCATAATTGTTTTCTTCTGCATATTAAAGCTACTTCACAGTAAATTTCAGTTTAGTTTCAGCTTTTTAATTTTCTGTTTAATTTCAGTTTATTTTGAGTTTTGTTTTGTTGGGGATTTTTTATTATGAGTGCTAATTTTCCTCAAACCATTTAATGAACAACTTTATATTTAAAATAAATAGACTACTCTGCAAGTTACCATAGTTTCAGATGTTGACTGAGAATGTGAAGATTGGCTTTGACTGGATGGAGCATTCCAAAAATTAAGAGAATCATCAAAATCTGTAGGAAAAAAAATAAAAATCAAATTTGAATAAAAATTAATTTATTTTTTATTACTACAAGACCAGCAGAGAGCAAACTAACCTTTTCGAAGACTGTTTCAGTGAAAAGTAGCCAACTAGTTATCCTTCTGAAGAACTCAGAACATAAGTTTTCACACATTGCACATATGAATTCTTATCCAGCAAATCCATTGAATAAACAGAAATTAAATAAAATACAGTTTTCAGCACAACTTAAAATAGCCTGGAAAAAGCCACACTTAGCTCAAACTGCAGTTGCATAGCCTTTAGTCATTTGACATAGTTCAGGTTTAGTTTTATTTGAAATGTAATAGTACAAAAGTATTCAAGATACCAGGGTCTCAGCACAAACGTAAGGAACAGATGTCTTCATCTTCAAAAAACTTCAAATTCACATTTTAAGAAAAAAAATGTCAAGCGAACCCATATTCATAGTTATAATGAAGGAAGAATTGCTTTGTGAGTCTATTTCAGAATAAAAAGTGTGAAAAATTTTATAGGACAAACCTGTCAATAACAGGCTTGAAAGCTTTTATATATTTAGAAAACAATAAAGAATAAAGCACTAGCTTACACAAATTCTGAGTGCAAAACACACAGAGGTAGAAGTCCTATACATATCTTAGCTAATCACTAAATTGAGATAACTAATTTTATTTTTAACATAACTTTGTGGATGACTTCGTGGGGTTTTTTTAATACTCCTGAAAAATGTGAGGAAAATACATTGGGGAAAAAAACAACAAAATTCTTTTAGGAAGATAAACCAAAGCAAGGTCTTCTATTAAGAGATGACAAAGGACCTAGTAAAAAGCAGAAACAGGTCATTATAAATAAAACCCCTCAATTCTGAACATATGAATGAAGGACTTACAAGCCTTTCAAGCACTATAATTTTAGAGATGGAAGAAACATTGTCCGGTCCTCCTTTTTTTAAGTAAACAAAAATTTTGTTTCTTGTTCTTGAAATATCATAGATGATTCTTCCTCCTTATTTCAAAGCTCCTGGAAAACCATTTTTTTGGCTTTGCTTTTCAATGATTTGATATAAAGTATCTCAACTTCTCACTGGAAAGTTCTACTATCCTGGAGTTTGAGTTGCTCTTAGATATGATATTGCATCAGCTAACAGAACTACCAAGAGGCACAAATAAGAGGACCATGGGAGGGGTGAAATGTGTTAAAGTGAAAAAAAAAAAAACAAAACCACTTATAGATAAATAAAGAAGCCACAGAAGAAATTTTTATGGCTGGAATTATGTATACTGCTGAGGTACTTCTCTGATAACTCAGTTAGTTAAGCAAGAATATTTCCTTTCTTTGGTCTGTCAATGTCATAACTTGGTAGCAGAAATAACATTCCTCTTCTGTTTATGCTTCTGTAACATAAGTTTGACAGAAGCAGACCTACAAGAACTGTTTAAATCTGTAGCCTTGGAAGATGAAAATACAGAAAATTAGGCACAAAAAGGGACAAAGAATGAACGTATTAATTTTACCTCCCTTGCACAGTTTTTAATCATTGAGCTTTCTGAAGAATTTCCTAGCTTTCTAAACTTAAGATTATAATGGACGTTTGATTTGGACAAGAACATGGGTTCCCACAATGCAGCACAGAAATATTGTTCAGAAAATGATTAGTCAATATAAAATTTAGATCTGAGATACTCCAAGAGTATACAAGTTAGACAAATAAATCAAACCAATCTGAGTATTAAATTTGATCAGTCTATGAATTAAATTATATCTGAATATCTTAGAATGCAGCTAACTTCACCAGATTAGAGCCCATCCCTACTTATGTATCTTTGAACACATGAGGAAACAGAAGCAGGAGTCTTAGAAACAGTTCATATACTTTTTTCCTAAACTTTCATTGTACCGGTCTTTCCAAGTCGCAACTGCAAAAAGTATTTTACCCCAATATATTGCAAGAAAATGTACTGCAGAACTCATTACATCTTTTCTGTTTGTAACTTTTTGTTACAAAACAAAATGTTTTGTACAGTTTACAAAATGTAAATAACAACTCGAAGCTTTTCCTGATATGTTAAACTAGTGACTTATCTACTTCTTAAATTCTCTGACTAATATTTTGACTTAACATATTTAAGCTAATTGTTTAAATATTTTTTCAGTTCCATTTTTAGTATGAATTATTTGAGACAAGTTACTCAAAACTAGAAGTTATTTAAGTAGGTTTAAAATATGACAAAAATATAACACCACATACCAGTTATACCACCTTTTTCTATGATGAGGTTGTCTTTGGAAGAATTCAAATCAAACATGTAACATCCTAAGTAACAGTGTTTCACCATCTGATTCACATGTTCATAGAATTGGCAGTGATATAAAAGGGCCTTAAGTGCAGGTTTTCCTGTTTGAGAGAGGCCAGATTCTTCATCATGTACACAGGGACCCTGAAGACATGAAATTCACAAACATGATTTCTTTAAAAAAATGTTTCACATAAACTGATGGAAAACTCCACATTAAGCCTAATATTCTGTCTGTGTGTCTGTCTGTCTGTGTGTCTGTCTGTCTGTGTGTCTGTGTGTCTGTCTGTCTGTGTGTCTGTCTGTCTGTGTGTCTGTCTGTCTGTGTGTCTGTCCGTCCACATAGCTGGTTTACATGCTGTAACTAATAAAATCAAATGTAGACTTTATTAAAGTTGAGCTAAATTATAATATTTTACAAATACTGTAGCGATTTATCAAAATGGAAGTAGAACTTAGGTCCAGAGAATGAATGAATGAATAAATAAATAAATAAATAAAACTAAAGTTTTAAAGACAGTATATGTATCAGGAGACTTTACAATTTTAATTTCTCACTTAATTCTACTTACAGATACCAACTAATGCAGAAGTTTTCTTTAGAAAAACAGCATACTCATACTAAGATGAGTAGATATCCTGAAAAGGTCATCCTGTTCTTAAGTATACTGCCATTATACTATATCTAGCCATGTCAACCTACTATGATGAAAGATTTGTTTAGAAAACAAGACATAAAACCAAAGAAATTCTCTTTACAGAATCGTTTTCAGTAATTTCTTTTTAAACACTGACTTCAGTGAAAACTTTACAGAGCAGTGGATTTACACCTGAAAAGAAAGATTTCAGCCTTATTTCAAATAATCAGTTTGATTTGACTATCTTTGTTATAGTATTTCTCCAGTGTTTTCTATAGTAACAGAATAGAAGTTTTATTAAGCTATAACATAACCTGTTTTAGGCTGACCATAAAAATTAGAAGTGTTAATTGGCAAAAGAACTGAGACTGAGAAAAATTCAAACCAAGTACACTCTATAAGGCAGTTTTAGGAGGCATCCTGCAGTACTTCAAAAAGAAACTAGTTAAAATTATGGAAAGAAAATTCATCAGTGCTAATCAGAATCTTTTTTTGGCAGTCAGGAGAGAGCAGAGGTACATCAACTGCAAATAAATAATTCGAAAAACACTATTTGTCCTCAAGAGACTCTAGATGTTCCCCAACCCCTCCACTTACACTGAATACAAGCTTACTTCCCAAGAAAACAAAACAAAACCAGATCAAGTAGAAGCAGTAAAACTATGCTGTGTTGCAGGATGTTATAACCAGAGCTTTAGATTGTTACTGCTCGTTCATTTTGGTTTCTGTAATATAGAAACCGATTATTTTCACTGTTTGCCTTTTAATACCAATTAATGGAGCATCAGGCGAGTCAAACAGTTTGAAAAAGAATGTAGTTTTTCATGTAAACTGTTCACAATGAATTATAAAACTGTAAATATACATAGACTTTATCAACTATGACAAATGAATACTTCGGAAATTTTTTAAAATTTAGTCAAAATTTTACCATCTAGAACTGTCTTTGCCAGTTTAAAAAATTATGCCAGATACTTTATTGCACAACGGGGGCCCTGAAAGAGTTACCCTAAAGAAACTGCTATGACTTCAGCAATCTTCACACAACACAGTATGTTACAGTCTTAGAATACTTTACACAGGTTGACTTTACTCACGACAAAAATTTCCTATGCCACTTTTTGAAGTAACATAGAAAAAGTAATTATTATAAAGCAGATTAACTAGGTAACAGCAACACTATAGATATTCTTATGGAAATACTGGTCTACAAACTCTATTTACAGCCTTTCCATGTCCAGCCCTGTTTGCCTAAGGGCTAAAGTGATCATGTTCTACTTGGCTATGGTACACTATTCCTACTATTCACTCAGACTCACTTCACAGCTCTCCTTTGAATTTGCTTGCACTGAAGGAAAAAAAAAAAAAACATTTTACTCAGTGCAAGGGAAAAAAAGTAACTCTGAAATACAGAATTTGATCCTGGTAGTATCTTACAATTTAAATTGTTGTTTGTATTTTCAACAGTTTTAATTTACCAGTTACCATAAAGTGTTGTTTGATATAATCTTTCAGCATGAACACTTATTAAGTGATGAGCAATTTCCATTAAATTGCACTTCTTAATAAGAATCACATTGCCTCAAAGCTTCTATTAATTGCACTGGAATTCATCCAGAATTCTGCGACTGGATTCAAATTTTGTCACCTCACTATAGTTGTTGAAATGTTTAAAAAAGACTAGAAAGCAACTTTTAATAGAATTTATATTGACAAGTAAAAATGACTGCCCCTTGTAAATCCCCTGCTATTATGAAATTAAATTAGTATTTATATTGATAAAATATAAGTAGTAAGCAATAAGACTGAAACAAAGGCCAGATTCATAAGAGTACTTGAACATCTTCCTTTATGATCAGATGTAAAGGAAAGATAAGATATGCTATAAAATGCAGCTCTGCAAGAAATAGTATAATTTATTTTGCGTGCAGCTGAATCATAGATAACATCCTAGTAAAACAGGAGGAATGTCTTTTAGCACTAGCTTGATCTTTTGCAGAAATGAACAGATAAAACAGGATATGGTTGCATCTGCAAATTTCTTCAAAAAAGAAAAGAAACTGTTCTCATATAGGTATGATCTCACATACTGAAAAGAACAAGATGGACAGAAAGAATAGGCATCGAGGCCTCAAAAATCTGAAAAATCGGGAACTAAGATCCAAAAATCTTTGTGTACAGTAAACCAGATTGCTGGAAATGACTGACTCAAGATCAGAATGGGAAAAGTCTCCAGGGGATCTTATCAGTTTGCACAAATATCTATCTGGTAAGAGAAAGTAAAGGGAGACAGACTCTTCACATTGGTATCGAGCAACAGGACAAAAGGCAATGAGCAAAAATTGAAATACAGGAAATCCTATTTAAACTTTGGAAAAAACTTTTTCCCCGTGAGTGTAGTCGAACATCAGAACAAGTTGCCCAGAGAGGTTGTGGAGTCTCCATCCTTGGAGATACTCAAGCCAAACTGGACACAGACCCAAGCAAGCTTCTCTAGTTCACCCTGCTTTGAGCAAGGGGTTACGTTTTTAAGAAGCACTTAAATTGAGTTAAGCAACAAGCTGCTTCATCCTTCTTTCAAAAGGGTTCTTTCTTATCACTTACATATTTCTTTCAAAACATTTTATAAACCTCACATTCTCAGAATTTCCTCTTCCTCATACCCCTCAAATCATGTTACATTCCAAGCGCAGGTTCAATAAATGACCAATTTATATCCTAAAATGTTAATGATACCATGTAAGTAAGCACATAACCTAGGAACCCAAAGATACTATCCTACATTCATGAAATGCCACATATATACAAACTAACTTTGGTTCTTTTATTGAGCTTGTGGGAAGTTTGAAAGAAGTTTGTCTATTCATATATTTCTCTTTCTAAAGTGTCACCTTAGACATGCAATTTTAAGTTTATATTTTATAGGTATACTGACATAAGTTTTTATATCAAATAACGTCTCTCTGTGACACTATGACCTTTCTCATCAAATGTAATAGTCACTCACTTGCCAAACACAATCTTTCACATCTTCTGTAGGAATTGGAATCACAAGGAGATTTTGTAGAATAAAAGCAGCCTGAAAGAAATGAAAGCATCAATACTGTCATCTAGCCATCACAGTTCAAAAAAACCATATCAGATTGAACAGCACAGCCTACATATTATTCCATTGCTTTAGATGTATGTTGAAACACAAAGAATTTTCACATTGATGTTGGAAAAAAATAAATAGAAGGATAAACCTAACAGTCCTCAAACTTCACCTATGACAGATGTCATTAAGGCATGGCACAAGAGAAGGCTGGTAAGAAAAAAAAGTCAAGGAAGAGATGGAATAGAAATCACTAGGGAACAAATTTATTTTTTTATAAAATACTTTCATCACTGTTCCAGTACAGTCAATCCTGTTGAATAAGCATTACATAACAAAATCCCTGGAAAAAAATCCCTGAGCAGGAAAACACAGATAACTGTTTATGACCCTTTCCTCTGTTGTCCTCATTTATTTTTTTTTTTAATGATTATAAAATAACTGGGACAATACAAGGGACACATAGGGACACACAGACACATATGTTCCAAATATTTTCCTTTCTAAATACATGGCATGTGTGTTTTTCTAATTTGTATAACATGCATTTCACATGTAATTTTTTTTATATATTTTATCAATCTTTTGTCAATAATTTGACTCTTAAGAGACTACTAAAATTATTTGGAAGCTAAATCAAACAATGAAGCAAACATTCTCAAAAGCATTTTGCACAAATAAATTTAAAATAGTGCTTTGCAAAATGTAATTAGTTGAGCAATAGAACTGGGAAGAAACTAACCCACTATGTCACAGTTGTTCTGTCTTAGTTATTGGAAAACAGGAAAAACCTTACAACTACAGATGATAGTTACAAAAAAAATGTACACAGTTTAAACATAGTATCATATAGTTCTATGTGCTGTCCTACCAGTGTACAAATTTTCAGATCTCAAAAATAAACCTTAGTGCCTAGACAAAATAGATTACTTCATGTCTGCAAGGAAGAGATATTTACTACGAATCAGGTGATGAGTATATAGTCTAAAGTGTTCATAAATGGAACAAAACAGCCATTAAAATCTGGGCTAATTTGTTATGCTTTAGCAATCTATTTGTCTACCTGAGTAAGCCTTAGGAGTTTTTATGCATTCACTTGTACTGTTTAGATCATTTCTGCTTTTACAGCAGTCATATGTTTGTTGCTTCTTGAGTAATTCTAAGTAAGAAGCTAAACATTTCTTTTAATTAAGTACAATTTAACTTACAAAGCAGTAGGTGTTATGCAGCATCAGAAAACAGATATATGGAATAGAAAATTTTAATAAATATTTTCTCCTTAATGAAAAAATCTAAGATGTCAGAAGGACACAAGAAACATACCTCTCTGCGTACCATGCTACATTCAGATTGGTCCAGAAGGATGTTTATTACCGTTCCCCACAGCCCTCCTGAAATGTTCTGGCAACTTTCTGCTAAAGCAATACATCCTATTTCAAGGGATGTAAGAGCTGATCCTATTCCAAGTGCTGTAAATCTGACCTGGTACATATAAACAAAACACAAAGTGGTATTTCTTATAGTAATTAGCAATTTTAAAATATTAAATTGTATCAACTGAATCTGCAGCTTAAAGGGAATAATTTAAAAAGGTAACAACCTATTTTCTTACATTTCTCTAGCCCTATACTCCAAATCACAACTACGTGTACATAAAAATGACAATAAAATAGGTATTTTAATAGTTTTCATATCCGTCACATTGTACCACTTAAAAATAGTTCCATTTCACAAACCCATATAATCTAACAGATTTGCATCAAATATACTTGCTCTAAATTTGTAGTACATGTTAACATTTCTGCTTTGCAGCTAAGTAACAGCAATGTCAATAAAAACTGCCTATGAATCATGATCATGAGTGAAAGCATAGAAGAAAGAAGATGTAGGGAAGGATTTGTCAGATGTTTATATGAAAATATTCTCCCTACTTTACTGTTACTATCATTAAGCATTTCCTCAGTAACATTTTAAATAATGTAAAAAACTAGTTTCAATACTAAATAAATTAATCAAATAAAAATTTTACAAATATTTAAGGGTCAAAATATCAACTTAACAGTGTATTAACTAACCTCAGGGTCTCTATCTACCCATAAAGGAACCAACCATGCCAAACCTAGCTGAGAAAGAACTTGTTCTTCACTGTTATCATAAGGCAAAGACCAAAGAGATATCCAGTCCTGATTAGAAAACAGATAATAAATTAAGAAGTTATTTTATAAGTCTTTCAATGACATGCCAGTCTGCCAACAGCCTAAGTTACCAATTACATACTAACACATTTTAAATGCACACAACACCAATAATGCAATACAAAGATTTTAATTCTGCCTCTATAAACATGTATTTAACATGCTGACTTCACCTACTGAATAAAACGAAATGTGTGTTGTATTCTTCAGAGAATTAGGACAGCAGTTCTAAAGAGAGATTAAATATTGCACTTAAAAACTAGAATAATTACTTCCATTCAAAATTTAGTCCTTACATTTTTATTTTTGCTTATTATTAACACCTGGCTTTCTCCTTTATCTTATACATGCACAGAAAACTACTAAATAAGAACATGTAATCATTTCTTTGATCACAATTAATTCTCTTTCTTCCTGCACCTGCTACATGATTAAATAAAGTCTTACAGACTAACACATTGCTGCAGATTCCATGAAACCATACTTGACTTTACAAATTAATTTCTTCAGCTTGGGTTAAAAAAAATAAGTACACCTGCAAAATGCTCTGTTTAACCATGGCACTGCACAAACAACATATTAAGTTCATAAAAAACTGTGACACCTGAAATTTTACGTGTTCTGACCACCTCAGTCCTGTATATTTTTACATAGTAGATGAATGTTGTTTCATTTGGAGCAGTATATTTTGCATGGATTTTCTCAAAACACACAATATGAATTACAAAAAGCTCAGTATTCTAGAATCTTTGATTTTGGGGAGGGAGGGCATTAAAATACAAAATTAAATACAAAACACAGGTCATAGAATTACAGAATGGTTTTGGTTGAAAGGGACCTTAAAGATCGTCTAGTTCCAACCCCCCTGCCGTGGGCAGGGACACCTTCCACTAGATCAGGTTGCTAAAAGACCCATCCAACCTGGCCTTGAACTTGTCTCTGGGCAGCCTGTTCATGTCTCACCACCCTCACAGCGAAGAATTTCTTCCTTATATCTGATCTAAAACTGTTAAAACTGTTATCCCTTGTCCTATCCCTATAACTCCCTAATAGAGTCCCTCCCCAGCTTTCCTGTAGGTCTCCTTTAAGTACTAAAAGGCCCCTATAAGCTGTCCCTGTAACCTTCTCCAGACTGAACAACTCCAACTCTCAGCCTGTCATCATAGAAGAGGTGCTCCAGCCTCTTGATCATCTTTGTGGTCGTCCTCCAGACTTGCTGCAACAGGCCCATGTCTTTCTTATACTCAGGGCCTCAGAGCTGGACGCAGTACTCCAGGTGGGGTCTCACAAGAGAAGGGTAGAGGGGAAGAATCACTTCCCTTGACCTGCTGGCCACACTTCTCTTGTTGCAGCCCAGGACACAGTTGGCTTTCTGGGCTGAGAACATACATTGCTGGCTCATAGTCAGTTTTCCATCTAATACCCCCAAGTCCTCCTCCGCAGAGCTGCTGCTCTCAATCCACTCATCGCCCAGCCTGTATTTGTGCATGTGTGCAAAGCACGACCAGTGAACTGTTACCATAGCAAATAAACATTGCAGCAATTCTAGTACACTCTAAGTATATGCTCTATTTCTCATGTACTCCTACAAACATCTGTAACTTACTTTTGACCATCAGGTTGAGATAAAGGAAGGATCTTACATCTGACTTAACAAGGTGGTTCTTTTAATAACAAAGAACTATAATGGTTCATAACACTGCTAGTGAGCAAAAAAATTTACTTTAACTAGTTTTAATTTCAAGTCATTAGACACTGCATTTTAAGTCAGTATTAATTTTTTTTTAAAATCAGTTATCCAGTGTACTCTCATATAACACTGCTTGCACAGAGGAAGGAGGCTAATTTTACATTTCTCTTTCCATAAGATTTGACACTAAATCACATGGTTGTAAACAACGGCCAGGATTTAAAATTTGAGAATATAAATTATAACTACAGTCTAGAACAGTTATATTGTTGTGTACAAAGAGTATGATTTATCAACACAAAAAAATGCCAACTATTATTATGCTGCTATACATATTATTCTATGAGACTGATATAAAATTAAAAAGTAATTAATTCAAGTCCACTCCTTCATCCATGCATATATGATCTAACTATCTGGAGACTGCAGTCTTCCTGCAGTGTACTTAATACTCTGTCCCTCTGCAAGTTTAATAAACTCTGTCAGCACTTAATATCTTGAAGGAGTACACAACTGTAGAAATAGACTTCTGGAATTTGGAGAAGCAGGTATACTGCTATTTCTGATTACAGGTGTACGTGATCGCATTGAAAGTTCTTCCTTTGTGGCTGTCACAGATATTGATAAGAAAGGATTTTTATTTTCCAAAATGGTTACACTAAATTGTTGAATTTGTTTTGACTGCTTCAGGATGAAGGCTGTTTTTTTCTAAATTCTCAAAAACTTAGCTCAAAACACGCACTTCAACACAAAGATGAATTTTGTTAATAAGTAACACAGCTCCTTTTATAATACAATCATTCTTTCATGTATGTATATATTCTTTCATGCATATATACATATATATATACACGTGAAAGAATACACACATATACGTGTAAATGTATGTTAGAAAGCCTGTTATCTGTACAAGGCTGAGGAAATAATAATGTTACAGACTGTTACATTTATTCATCCTACATAAAAATCCTGATTTCTCTTTTTTATTAAAAAGAAAACTATACCTTATTCCAAAAGAAAGCCTTTCCATATCCACAGAATTGTTTGCAGAATAATTTTTGTAAGGCTAGAACTGAACCTTCAGCTTTCTTGTATACTGTACTCTATGCTATTAATTTATTTAACATTACATACTAGATTACCAGATTTTATTTTTATTTTTACTATCTGTTGCCATATAAGACATCTTCCCCCACCACATATGAAAATATACCATTTACCTTTAGCAGTTAAAATATATCTGTGCGTAGCCCTCACAGATTATAAGAGGACAAGTGTAATGCACTTACTGTATCCTTGGCTTGAGCCATCATTTCATGAGATAAGTGAAGCAAGCAAAGAACTGTGCTTTTCGTAACACCTTTTCCCATGAAGGACATTGCATTTCCTCCCCATTCAACATAAAATGATGAGATGACCTAGGAGTGGGGTTAACAAGTTCACTGTATGTTTACTGTAAGCAATATACCCGTAGAGTACAAACTATCTTATACACCACTACATTATAATTTATTTCATGAAAATATGGCAGATTTTTAGCTGAATTTTATTTATGAGTTATTTGGTCATGTGATGATTTCCTCTAAGCTTAAGCTTCTGAAGATTAGTGGGTTTTTATTTGCTTCTTGAAAAATGCAGTCAAGATTAATAAGAAGCATAATATTGAATAGAAACCAGAAAATTTGTTTTTGATTGAAATAGTCCATTTATTGTACCTAGTTTTTTATGTTATGTTTAGAATTAAAAATATAATTCCTTTTCAAAACTTTATGTTCAAGAAAAAGGGTCATTTATATCTTTTATTGGGATTTAAATTGGATTTATCAAATTCTAATGAACAGAAATAAAGGTCACTGGATCATAACGTAAATTAAACTCTCTCACCTAATATCTAAGCATACAACTTAAAATAAAAAACATGCTGCTTTCCATAAAACATGCACAAAAATATTTTTTAAACTTATAGTCTTAATACTTATACTTCTAGATGTATTTTTCTTCCCAAAACACAGTGATTTGAACCTCTCCATTTTTGCTGTTGTTCCTTCTTTCAGTGTTCTTCTCTATAGGAATTACTTCAAACCCACTTCCTCCCCTCTCCCCAAAAAGAAAGCTACATTCACTTTCATATCTAGGCAAAGTAAAACTACATAATTTGTCAGCACATAAAGCTTATGCATTGCTAGTTGATTTCATTCTGTATTCATTATGATTTTGTCTTTCTTTTCCATGACATCTATAATCTTGGTGCCATTTTTAGTTTTGACTTCAAATCTCAGAATTAGTCTAACCAAATCACTCTAAAATATTTATTTCTACTGAAGAAATCTTGGCAAATTAAGACCTTTCCCTAAAACACTATCTTCTTTTATCATAAAGTTGATTATCATCTGCATACAAACTTTCCAGACACTTATCTGATTGCTATTCATATCATTCAGAATCACAAATGAGTTAAAACTACTTTAAAACTTTTTCATGCCTTCATCAATGCAACAAATAAATTTTAGTATTTGAAACTAAAAAGGAAACTTGTAAATGAACTTCTTACAGAATATGTGAACAACAAACAGAAAGGCAGATCTAAGCTTTTCCTACAGTTTTAAGAAGACTGGAGTCTTCAAAAGATGTAATTTTAGGAGCAAAAACTAGTTGTCTATCACATCCATGAACTTAACAAACAAATAAGAACACTGAAAACAAGAATGAAATTTTGGCTTCCCAATAACCATAACATCTTGATTTATCTCTTTCCTGCTTTCTCTGTGTTAATAACCTGCCTAACGAGTTACTGTTCCCCCAAACCACCTTTCACACTTGGATTCTGCCTGTGGGAGAATATCTTGGATTTTTCCTCTTAAGTGTTTCAATTATTACAAAAAATATATATTTTTCATTTTGCTTTCATTCCATTAAAGTACAGTCACTTTATATTACCTCTTAAACAGGGGATGAATACATACACAATACAACCAATCTTCCTAAGTACAGATACACATCAGTCTAGTGTCCATATTTTTGCTGTTTACTTCGCAGAAATAAAGCATCTTTCCCACACCTATTCCTAGTGATGATACTCACTAAAAGTACATCATAAAATTATAGTGTCATTAGATACATAGTTCTTTACAAGCATTCAAACCAAAAGCTAAGTTGTAACATAAACTACTTACCTCAAGAAGACCTGTTAAGTATTTCTTACAAATTGTGACAGGTTCAACTGCAGCAGAATAGGTACTCCAGTCTGGAAGTGCAGTAACATGAACCATTCCTCGTAATGTTCTCTCCAGTGAAGGAAGTCCATAAAAATGTGGTGCATCTGTTAGCCTTAAGCATTGCAGCAGCTTCAGAGCCAGCTCAGTTCTGAAAGAGCCAGCAAGTTCCAAGCCCTCTCTGGTTTAATTGTAAAAAAACAAAAAAGAACTGTCAACGTGAAGCTATTCTAATGAATCATTTTCCAAGAGGCCAACACTTCATTCTTCTTACTGTTAGTCTGTGAGTCTCAGTATTTCAATTAGGTACTATTGCCTTATGCACAAAGTAATATGGAATGAAATTTGACATTTCTAGCTTCACCCAGGTTCTGAAAACATAATATTGCATCTGATTATAACAGGACTGCTTAACTAAAAAAGGACAAATGAGATAGAACTCTAGTTACTAAGGAGCATGTTAAATAAAGACCAAGAAATTGAGAACGCTGGATGACATAATGAGAAGGGTTGCAACGTTTAATAGTTATGCTTATGTTTGTTCTGGTTCAAGAGACAAGCTTAAAATATTTCCTGCAAAATACCATCAATCTAGAATTCAGGTAGATAGAAAATACAGGCTGAAATATCTTACGCTACAATTTTAGTATCTCAGAATATTTTCAGACAAAGAGATTTAGTGTGGGCAGTTGTTGTATTAGAAACTTGGAGAAAAAAAAAATAGAAATTCATCTCTGTGTTTGCTTGACTGACAGAAAAAGGTTGGAACTTCATGTTGGAAGTAGCTGTCCTAAAAGAATCACTAATACACACTGACATACTGTATTAAGCCAAAAAAGGAGTTCAGTTACAGTAATCATTTGTCGATATTTCAAATACTCCAGTTTTTACTTTGCTATAAATATATGCTACAAAATCAATTAAGCTATCATTTGCTTGTTCAAATTTCCAGCAGTGAAAAAGAAATAGACAATCTTCTCCCTGCAAGCAGTTTAGTTATCCATTTGCTGAAAAAGTGACTAGTACATATTCTTCCAAGTTTCCTAGCTAATTTCCTAATTTTAATGTGAAAAAGCCTACCTAACATTGATCTTCACTTCAAGAGGAATGTATTCCATTTTTACAGTTTAAAACAATAAGTTATGATATAATTATATTAAAATTCTGACTGAGATAAAACAGTAGTTAGCATTGCGATCCTCAGTCAGAATTACACAGGCAGGTCCATTTACATCATACCTGTCAGTCACTGACATGGAACAAAATAATAATGTGTTAAAAAGACGAATGAGTTCCTTATCCAGTTGCTGCCTGACAGCAGTCTGTATTTCATCTATTTCATCCCGCACTTGGGATTCTGGTCGCACCAGGAGGCCCAAAAGGGATTTAGGTTTCTAAAAGAAAAGAATAAAAATACAGTCACATAATGCATTGTTTAAATCCTATTTTAATACCCACACTAAAGCTACTTCTCTGTTGAGACATATTATAAATCACAAATTCCATGGTCATTTTACTAAGAAGTATTTCTGTAAAAAGCACAGTAAAAAATGCCTATAATTACCAATTCCTTGAATCTACTAAATGCCACAAAAGAAACTACTGTTAAGGACTTTAAAAATTCCTGGCATTAAGCCATAACAGAGTATATTCTGAAGCATGAAAGAAAAATCAAAGTTACAAAGAGCAGCAACCTGCAATAAAATAAATAAATAAATAAATAAATAAAATCACAAAACCCAAGTTCAGGTTATCTCTTGTATGTCTCGCTTGAAAGACTTAAAATAATTTAATATAAAGATCTTATATTAATATATTGAATGGGCCATACTTACACAATTTTATAAGGTTCCTAGTTATCCATATAAATTGAAGTACCTGAATTCTATAAGTAATTGAAATGAAGTCTACTAGCTTTTTTTTTTCTTCTAAATGTTTAGTTTGTATTTTAAAATGGGAAAATGTAAGTAGATGCAGACTGTACTTAACATATGATATCCTTTGTAAGGCTATGAATGATCTTGCATGTGGGAAGTACGCTCTTGCTTTGTTAAGAGTAGTACTTTGCAAACTTATGATTGTCATTTAACTACTGTTTTTTATACAGGAAGATTGAATTATTTAAACAAATATATAGAATTTTTAAACACTACTTTATGATGTTCATTTCCTATTTAGTTTTATACTTTCCAGTTTTACACATCTTAAATGAACAGTATTGGCCCCAGCAAATCTCTCAAATAGAAACCACAAGAGTCTAAAAAAAATGAAATGAAAAAAAATTGCATTTTAAAGACAACTACTGAATTGTAAGCTTACATAATACCTTCCTCATGCTTATAAAAATATTTTACTTCAACATACTATAACCATTTAAAATTGAAACTTAAGTGACAGGCATACTGAAAAGGAAAAACTTGCATTAAGAACAAGAATTGAAAGTTGGGACAAGACAGATAACTCCATTTATATCTTTGCCACACAGAAGATTCCAACACACCTGTATGAAACATCATCCATTAGGTTACACAGATAATACATATGTAGCTAAGCATACTTTATACGGTTGTGTATGTCTGCACATGTATATGTATGTATAGTTACATAGTTAACCATATCACATGTATATATATATATAGCTATATGTAGATAATAGTTCTGTGCACAGAGCTATGCATAGCTAACTGTAGTTATATGGCTCTATACAATCATATATCTGTAGTTAACTACAACAGAGCAAGACACACAGAGGCAGGTGTTGTTTCCTTCTAGCAAATACAACATTTAAGTTCAGAGAAACAAATCATGTAACAAGTAAAGGAGAGAAGAAAATTTATTCTTGTTCAAAGTTAAGTTCCCCAAACACTAGAACTGTAGCACCGACCACAAATTAGCAGACATTAATACTACAAGACCTGCTATTTTTTGCTCTTGTTAACAGGAGTCTGTTTCCTTGAAACACCTGAAAGAAACCTGCCAACCAGTTCACAGTTGTGTCATTTCTTACAATCTACAGCTAACTTCAGGTATATTCTTACACTTTTAAGCAATGATTTCAAGATCCACTTTAGATGGTCTGAGTCCAAACTTGATCTCTGCTCTTTAAGCAATTTGTTTAAAAGTCTTAAGACATCCACTAAAAGCTTCTCATCCTCCACAGAAGCTGGAAGCACTTGCAGAAACCTTGAATGCAAACAAAAATATTTACTTTCATACATTAAAAGAGAGTTTAAGATCTCAGACTAACAGGACTGAAGACACCTGCAAATGTGACATTGTATAGAGTAAATATGTCTATTATATATATTTACTTATAGCAAATATGGAATTACATTAATTATATGATATATATGCTCTATACTAAATTAAATATATTTAAGTGCTTTTACAAAAATATTGCTTATATTGAATTATTATATACTATTATACATTTATTGTGTATTAATACAAAATTGTTATGTATATTTAAAAGTGTATTTACATATAGTAAACATGGAATTGCATATAGTAAAAGACAGAAAAAATCTCAACAGTGTCACAAGACAGGAAAGAAAAAAGGTAATTAGCTATTAAATACTAGTAAATAATAGTAATAGCAAAGCCTACCTATGCTTTTTAAATAATCACTATTTTAAATACAACATTCTTATTTTTTGCTGGGTTTGTATACGTAAATTACAGAATCACATAATCATAGTCATTGAAGTTGGAAAGGACCTCTGGAGGTCACCTGGTACAGCCACCCTGACCATGCAAATACACCTGCAGCTAGTTGTTCAGGCCTATGTCCATGTGGCTTTTTAATATCTCCAAGGATGGAGACACCAAAATTTCTCTGGGCAACCTGTGCCAGCGCTGTATCACCTTCACAGTAAAAACCCACTTCCTGATGTTCAGAGGGAACCTGTTTCAGTGTATGCCCATTGCCTCTGGTCCTGTCACTGGGCACCACTAGACAGAGCCTGGCTCCATCTTCTTTATACCCTTGCTTCAGGTAGGCATATAGATAAGATCCCCCCTCTGAGTCTCCTTTTCTCCAGACTAACTAGTTCCAGCTCTCTCAGCCTTTACTTATAGGAAAGATGCTCCAGTCTTCTATCATCTTGGTGGTGCTTCATTTGACTCTCTCCAGTACAGAATCATAGAGTGGTTTGGGTTGGAAGGGACCTTAAAGATCATCTAGTTCCAAGCCCCCTGCCATGTGCAGGGACACTTTCCATCCATCCAACCTGGCCCTGAACACTTCCAGTGAGGTGGCATCCCACTGCCTTGACTTGCTGGCAACAGTCCACCTAATGTAGTCCAGGATATCATTAGCCTTCTTTGCTGCAAAAGCATGTTTCTGGCTCATGCTCAGCCTGGCGTCCACCAGGACCCCCAGGTCCTTTTCTGCAATGCTGCTTTCCAGCTGGGTGGCCCCCAGCATATATTGGTTGTTCCTCTCCAGGTGCAGGACTTTGCACTTTCCCTTCTTGAACTTCATGAGGTTTGTCAGCCCACTTCAGCCTGTGGAGGTCCCTCTGGATGGTAGCACAACCCTGGCATATCAGCCACTCCTCCGAGTTTTGTCACATAAAAGAACCTGCTTCTGCAGAATGGTGCATTCTGTCCCATCATCCCAATCATTAATTAAGATACTGAATAGGACTGGACCCCATATTGATCCCTAGGGTGCATTTTTAGTTACTGCCTTACAACTGGACTTTGTGCCACTTATCACCACCCTCTGGGCCTGGCCCTTCAGCCAGTTTACCATCCAATTCACCGTCTACTCATCCCACTTATACCTTATTACCTTCTCTACAAGGATCTTATGAGAGACATTGTCAAAAAGCCTTCCTGAAGTCAAAGTACACAATATCCACTGCTCTCCCCTCACCTACCAAGTCAGTCACTTCACTGTACAGGAATATGCACAGGCTGGTCAAGCATGATTTCCCTTTGGTGAATCCATACAGTCTACTCCTGATGACCTTCTTATCATTCATATGCACAGAAATGGTTTCCAGGATTGGCAGCATCATCACTTTCCCAGGCATCAAGGTGAGGTTGACTAGCCTGTAGCTCCCTGGGTCCTCCTTCCTGCCCTTTCTGAAGATAGGAATGACATTTGCTTTCTTCCCATTCTCAGGCACTTCTCCCAGTCACTTTGATTGATCAAAATTGACATGATATTACATTAGCTAGGATACACTCATGGGTGTATCTCATCAGGGCCCATGGACTTATGCATGTCTGGTTTGCTTATGTATTTCCTAAACTGATCCTCTTCCATCAATGATATGTCTGTCTTGCTCCAGACTTTCCTCCTGGTCTCTTGGATTCCTGAGCTGGTCTTGCTAGTAAAGACAGCACTCAGGACCTCAGCCTTTTCATGTCCTGTATCACTGTGGGCCCTGTCCAATTCATCAGCAAGCCCATATTTTCCCTAACCTTCCTTTTGTCACCTATGTACTTATAGAAGCCCTTTTAGCCTTTGACGCCCCTCACCAGATTCAATTCCAGGTGGGATTTTGGCTTTTTTAATTGCATCTCTGTAGGCTTGGGCAGTGTCTCTATATTCCTCCCAAGTTACTTGTTCCTATATTCACCCTCTGTAGGCTTCCTTTTTGTGTTTGCATTTTGACAGCAGCTTCTTTTTCATTCATGCAGGCCCCCTGGCATTTTTGCCCAACTTTCTGCTCAATGGCATGGACCACTCTTGAGCTTGGAGGGAGCGATCACTGAATGTTAACCAGCTTTCTTGGGCGTCTCTTCCCTCCAGGGCCTGATTCCATCAGACACTAACAATGAGATTTTTTGAAGAGGCCAAAGTTTGCTCTCCTGAAATCCAGCACTGTGATCTTACTTTTTGCCCTCCTTCCTCCTCTCAGGATCCTGAACTCTACCACCTCATGTTCACTACAGCCAAAGCTGCTTTAGACCTTCACATCCGTAATGAGCCCTTGCTTCTTTGTGAGCATGAAGTCCAGAAGACCACCCCTCCTTGTTGGCTCCTCTGTCACTTGGATCAGGAAGTTGTCATTGATGATCTCCAGGAACCTATTGGATTGATTGTGCCCTGCTGTGTTTTCCCTCCAGCAGACACATGAAACAACATATATGTGTCAGAATCAGACAATCAACTGTATAAATTTAAAATATGAAAAGTAGGAAATTCACAATTTAAGCATCATACTCTTTAATGGATTTCCACCAATATGCTTACCTGTTTATTGCTTTTTGCCAAACAAAATTCTTCAAAGTCATTCTACAAGAGCCAGAACTGGATTTTAATGCAAGTCTGTCATTCAGAATATAAAAACTAAGCCTAGTGAGGGCAGCCCTAACATCCCTGTGGGATCCTGCCTGAATGACTGAATTAAGACAATACTGCAGTCCATAGTTTGTGTGAGTTATTTTGAGTACAAGAATGTCTTCTGAGGATAGTTTTAGAGAGTCTAAAAATCTGAAAAAGCATAAGAGAAAAATTAGTAACACAGTATCTTTACAAACAATTTCAGTGAGTGTTGACTCACTTCCCAGTTCAAATGAGAAGACAAAACAAAAATTGCCTTACAAATTTATTTTTGTTAACCAATGCTTTCTCCTCCTTCTCCTCCTTCCCCCACACTCCAAAAAAACAAAAAACCAACAATAACAACAAATACCACTATCACATTTAAATCCTGAGCTGTTTGGGTTCTTTGGAAAAATGGTACTTCTCAAAAAGTTACTTGAAAGGTGATATTCACATTATTTGTAATGAACCTTTCCTCCATGCTATTGTAAATGTTGGTCATTTGGACTACACTATTCTCCTATTTTCTTTTTAAGAGATTGCTCAGGTTTTGCCTGAGGAAACTTAAACCAAAAATAATTTATCATATCAATAACTGCAATTTCCAATGGCTTAGAACCATATTTTATTTACTAATTTACTAATTAAAACTTGTAGTACCCCTTAAAGGAAGTAAGCAAAAACTAAAGAGTTGTCAAGAGGGACAGAGATATAGATACAAGCGTTTAAGCCCTATTAAATCAAGAATTCTTTAAGACATTGAGTTCTGTACACAAAATAGTCTCAAAGAGGGAAATGATGCTTAATCAAGAGCTAACCAAAGGATGTAAAGGGAATTTTCTTCATTATCTACCATAATTCTTACTATTACCATTACAAAAGAACAATTATTTGAAATTTAAATCCACAATGAAAGAGAGAAAAAAGTCATTAAACTATAAAGGGGGAAATAGGCAGCTCCCAAAAAAACAAAGAAAACCAGCCACAAAGCCCGTTTGAAATTGTTTAAAATGAGTTTGATCGTCAATAAAAGTTGGATCAAGCTCTAGACTTCGTGTATAAACGCAATTCAGGTAAAGCATTAGCTATGACAACATATCTACAGCCTCTTGGGATATGCTCCTTTGTATTTAAAAGGACAGCATTTTTAAACCAGTAACAACTTGAACTGCTGTTTGAAGTTGAAAACCTATTTAAACTTGATGGAACACTAATTTAATTAAAATATGTTGGGATTTAAAATCAAGATAAAATGGCTCACATTTCTGCTTCCTTCTCATAATTTATCAGTTGCAGTAGGTTTTCAATCCCATGGTACCACGACAGATTCCAAGCCATCTTAAGCATATCTGACACAGGTTTCATAGCCAAGCACTCAGAAGAGAAAGGTACAACAACAGTATTAGGACTAACTACATGATGAGCACTAATCCTGACTGGGAGATGATACCTAAAAAACAAAACAAAACATTTTTAGAAGTGGTTGGTGGGGGTTTTTCAGAGAACAAAGACATGGAGAAAAAGCTCCATGTTTAAAAATGCAGACAACTTTGGATTTAACATCAAAGGTTTCTCTTCACTCTTCCACCTTCATACTTCAGGAAGAACAGCAAAGGGAAAGCAGCAAAGTTAACTGTAAAAACAAACAAAACAAAACCATCTACACATACCTTCTAACAACAGCAACAGGTAAACTGAAGGTAGATAGGCCAGTATCATTACTGGTTATGTCATCAGCCCTGCAAGACATTAAGTTCTCTATTTTAAGCTTCAATTTTCTACTAATGTTGCACTTATTATTCAGATATAGCTGTATTTTTTCCTCCAGCTAGCTCTTTAATAACCCATTGATAGTTTGTATTAATAAACATGGTTATGAGATATTAAAGATTATTATGCAATATTTAGATAGTTCTTAAATCACACAGATACAGAATACTTATTGCAGATCTACTGCACATAAAAATGAAATTAAAGAGCATACCAAAGCATATGCTTGTTTCTTTTTTCTATTAGAGAGAAAATATGCATCATTCTTGTCTACTTTTCATGTGTGTGAATTCTAAAAGCTTTTTTTTTCCCTTAAGTATATGTAAATTTAAAACGAAATATCATAAGCTAAGGTCTGTTGGTTTAAGGACAACTGCTACAGTTAAAAGACAATTAGAATTCTTCTATTTACTTTAAGTTAAAAAACCACACCTACAGCTAGCTGTTTGATTTGTGTAGTTTCCATTTATGGAAAAGATGGATTACAGACCAATCAGGGTTTTTTGAAAATGAAAGTAACCTTAAAATTAACACTGAGGTACAAAGCATTTATACTGGAAAAATATGCCATGTAGACCTATGCAGCATACAACCCAAGTACTGAAACAATTTATTTGGCCTACAAATATACAATTTTGGATATGCAAAACTTTGGGGCATATTTTGTCTGGATTTATATAAAAACATCTTCATGAAAACCCTTAGTTTCAACTAGAGACTATACCATTAAATAACTTTTTTCATACCACGTTTCTGTTCTTGCTACTTCATCAAATAACAGAAGACAAAGCAATATTGTAGTTTCAGTTAAAACAGCACGATCATTTTGGAATATCAGGGAAACTGAATAAAATAAAGATATTTAAAAATGTGTTAGGAAAACATTGACATATAATAATACATAATATGCTGCTTAAAAAAAATATATATTTCCAGTCATTTTGTCAACATCTTCAACATATGCCATACTATGGGTAATACTAGCACACAATGATTTATATTTTAAACATTAGAGACTCTGAAGTGATACAAGCTTCTTAAGAAGGCTTTTGGTTAAACATCTAACCATATTTCACACATTTTCTCTCCACACATATATTACAGTCAAAATAGAATCTTTACCTCTAAATAGCAAAAGCAGTAAAGATGATTGCTGTGCTAGGGACAGACGAACTACTGGATCAGCATACACAAGTTTGCGTAAGAGTGTTAGACATGGTAACACTATGGATTCCATAAGCTACAGGAACAGAGAATAAATACAGATAACAAGTAAATCTGTTAGGAGATGCTTAATAAAAACTGTCATGCTATGAAGAAATACATTCCACTTTCCTAGTGGAGAAATCTAGAACTTTATTAGACAAGAACATTTCATCCAGATAACTGCACCCTCATTAGAAAATGTTTATTCACTTCTGGTTTTCTTTTATTAGTAATTGATGGTTATTTTATTGGTCTCTGGCATCATAACACCATTATAACATTTGCTTTCAAAATAATGTATTTTTAAGAAGCATATATGTGAGCTGAAGGTTTTTTTTTTAAAAAAAAAAAGTTTGTTAAAACCACATAAGTTTATTCCTTTTTTAAAAAATCCAAATAGCTTATTCTATCACATTCATTTTCTGGGTCCCACCCTTTCAGATCAGGAAACCTAAGAAGAGAAAGCAGTTTGCCAAAAGGGCCAAAAATATGACCCAAGTCACTGCTCTTAAGATTGAGAAGACTTTGTCTATCACAGTCACATTACTTTGCTTGCGTGAGGTTCTGCCTTTAAATTTGGTTCTGTAAACCACATCATCAACAAAGTTTAGTTTAATAATGAATAAACAAAAGCTCTTCTTATTTAGTATGGAAACAGTGCTTTTACCATCTACTACTTCCTTCATCCTTTTCTTGGTAGCCACTTTTCTAAGAACATTTGAGGGGAGAACCAGAATCTGGGCTAGATTCCCTCAGGATAGTGTCCTAATGACCTACATGGTCTTTCTCTGACTTAATGAAATCAGCACTATTTTGTGATTAGACTAGGCTATATCAAACAAGAGGTAAGCAATGATCCTACTTAATTTATTTTCTCTTCTGGTAGATAGCTCATTTTCTTGGGAAGTAGTCAGAACTGTCAGAGCTTGAGGGAGCTAAGGATGGGACCTCTACTGGTTGTACTCAAGAGACAGGAGTAAGACTGCTTAGTTATTCTGCCGACGAAACATTTTACAGTTATTTACAGAGCAGAGCATTTGGAATCCAAAACTTCTATCAACACAGAGCTGACAAATTCCTGAATGCTAGCATTTGAAGTGGAATTTCATATACAGCTTTCCGCTTATGCTCTCCTGATGACTTGATCTAAACTATTCATCATTCAACATGTGCCATTTTAGATTTTTCCTTTAAAATACTCTGCATCTTTCATCATGTGAAGTTTGAACATCCTGCTCAGTATAAACACCCTACATTCCACAAGCCATATATGCAAAAGAAAAGTATCACAGCCTCTCAAGAGCTGTTGTCTGTGCCGTTCTTGGATTAAAAGTTTATAAAGGGTTAAAAAACATTATTCTGATCTTTTTCCTATTTGGCTATGAAGGATCTGCCTAAGGCAATATACTTCCCATGCTTGTACTTCTGTATTATTAAATAATTATGCTAATATCTACCTACTATCCAAAACATAACACTAGTTGCATTACTCTGTATCTCTAAAAAAGGTAAGATAATAAAAACCTGACATTATAAAACACACAGTGAAAAACCCTGAAGAACCTAATATTTCAATTTCTCCAACTGGGTTTCAATGATACAAAAGTAATCATATTCAAGCTATCATAAACTGGACTAGAGACTCCTTAATGCTACAGGGATAAAATCATCCTCGATACTGATAATCTGGAAAAAAACCCTACCATTGCCAAAGAAGAATGTAACTTTAGTTACATTAGTTACATTAGTTTGACAAATAGAACGAATTCCACTAAGTACCAAGCAGTTCTTTTATCTTATACATTTTTGGGAAAGAAGTCATTACTATATAAGAATTCTCACGGTTTCTTAAAATAACTCAAGGTTTGAACTGTTGGACTGCTCTAACAATAGTACGCAAGCGAACTAAGAAATATGCAGAAAGTTTATCCAGTGAGGTGATGTTGACCAACTTACAGTCTAAATAACCTTGCATAGAATTATTTCAAATAATGGATTTCAGAAAAATTCAAGCATCAGATTAGACATATTACAAAACCAGAAAGCGTAGTCATCTACAATAAACACACACTCAACTTTAAATGTGCTCTTATCTCCTGACACCATCCCTGGTGAGATGAGGTATTGGTCAGAAAATTACTTATACCTTGAACTCAATCTGACTTGTAGATTCCCATTTACAATAACATCTTATTTTTAATTATAATTTGCTTCAGAACTTAAGTTTAGAGACTATGATATACTACATAACACTATTTTTTTTTAATAACGTCAAAAATTATTTTTTTAAGGTCTTCAAAACCTTCTTCTTCCCTGGAAGGGAAGTTCTGGCATATTTCAGAACCACACCAAACACAAATAATTCTCCAGCTAACTATTGTCATAGGTAGGCAAATCAATCTTCTTTCATTAAGAGAATTTGAACATTATCAAAAATATAATGAATAAAATACATATTACAATTACAGTTGTTACTAAACACTTGTATTCTGTGCAGGTGCAGTATTAATACACAAAAATTAGTCTTATAAATGCAGAAAAAGGCAAATTGTACTACTGGCATGCTGTGTAATGCTTGCAGGAGACCTTCTAACAATAGTTTTACCTTGCCATCCACATGTATGCACTCATTAAGGTAAGACAAAATCTTTTCTACCATGCCCAAGTTTTTCACAATGCCATGCATTTTGGTATCTGTAATTAAAAAAAAAAAAAATAAAATAAAAAAGTCATAATTACTGGTTCTGCATCAATTTAATATTAAACTTCTTTCTGCAAGATGACAAACTGGCTGTTGAGAACAGGTTTCCACAATTGCCAATCAACAGAACAAGCACAGCTCTAGCTCTACCAAGGCAAGAATCTTCAAAGTCTTGTTACCTGACTATAGTAGCCTCTTGAACACCAGACTCTTAAATATCTTCTATAACTTCCAATGAGAAATTATGTTCCACAGTTACAGTGATCCCCAGTGCAACATAATTTCAGTGAAACTAGAATTTCACTTGTAATATTTTAACAGTTTAATATGGAACTAAACCCGGTATTTACTCCATCACCATGAGAGTATTTTCCAGTGATATCCTTCATAGCACCTGGTTTAAGAATACTCCATAACAAAAAAGCTATGTCATTTGGGTTGGTTGGGTTTGTGGGGATTTTTAAAATAATTATAAAAGTGATCTTTCATAGGAAATTTGTCCTGATAAGGCCATGCTTTTTCCTTTGCAATTTCACCCAATGCTGTGTTTCATATTATCGTTTGACATCTGAAAACTTTGGCTGCCATAACTGTATTTTACATGACAAAGTAGAAACTTTATCATTTTTAGATAATTTTTCTGACAAGAAAAATTTTAATTTTAATATTATCTAAGACTTCACCTTCCCAGGATGAAAAAATTATGTTCTATCATTAGGATTTGAGTTCCTTGAAGAAAACATACTTGAATCAGAGCTTGAATAAGTAGAGTACAAACACCCAGGTTTGCAACTACAGTTATGAGCCTGCACCAAGTCAAATAATGCTCTATACAAGATTGCTTACTTGCATCTTAATCAGATCTTCTTTACCAGAATTCATACTTTTTCCCCATGTGAGCAATACAATTACAAGAAAACAGCTGTGATGCAAATTTATGATTACTCACTTAAAACACAGAGTAAAAGGAGGAACACTTTCCTTGCAAACACATTAGATGAAATGCCACAGGGAGTCTGCCTCTTCATATTGAAAGAGGGTATAATCATCAAAGCTTTGCTTGAGTTTACTGAACCCTCATTCACACAAATGATGTTTCAATCCATTTTAACTGTAGTTACTAACTCAAAATGGAGGAAGAAACTCAGAGAACAATTTCTTCTATCATTCTAAGTATAAAATCCCTTTAGCTAGCCTGTGTAATCTAAGAATTAACTTTCTTAGTTAAAATATGCCACCACCAAAAATATATATGTATTTTATATTAACCATTGCCTCACTCACTCAAGACTAAGCATCTGAGTTAGCAAGAGAAAAAAATTTGAAGCACCATTAGTTCCAAGACAGACCAACAAACCAAAGAACATTAAAAAGGAAAAGCAGGAAAAAAGCTCTTGCAGAGCTTACAGAATTCCTCTTACTCCATTACCCAAGGAAGCTGTTTTTAACTAGTAAGACCACTATCTCTTATTCTTCAGGGTGACAAATAAAAATTAGTTATTTGTTGAATTGGTAGATCATCCACAATAGTGTTAAAATTCTGGTCCAACAATACCTGTAGGAATTATGAAGAGTACCCTTGGCACAAACATATAGAAAACCTAGCAAAACTGCAAGCTTACTGTCCTGGTTCAACTAGGATAGGGATGAGTTTCCCCAGCAGAGAGAGAGGGGGAAGGGATCTCCAGCCGGGTTATTCATACCATGCTGACGTCAGGTCCAGGGGCAGAAAACTTTGATTTTACTTTTGCTTTGGCTTTTTGGTGGCGGGGAGCTGCTCCGTGACCATTTTGTGGTATTTCTCTGTATATCTTTTGTCTTCTTCACTGTTATTGCTGTTTATTGTTGTTATCATTGCCACTCTTGTTGTTCAGATTGTTTTATCACACCGTTGTATTAAATTTCTTCTTATTTTAGCTGGGGTTTGTGCCTCACTGCCAGCCCGACCGGCTGAGGGTGGGGGAGGGGCAACAGCAACATGTTCTCTGGTCCCAGCAGGGCTTAAACCAACACGCTTACACAATGATCAACACACGAACACACGTTTTATGAAGAATTTTACCTTCTAAAATGATAGTTAGCTGCTCAGCTGCAGACTTCCGTAAAACTAGGTCAACAGCATCAGAAGTCAAGATGCCATACAGCTTTTCAACAGTTTCTGCCTAAAAATAAAAGTATATTAGATTTACATCCAAGTACACTATTGTGAAAGAAGGTAACCAGCCAAACTTTCTAACAAAAAGTAGAAAATAAAAAGATCTAAATTCCTTATTAGAATTTATTTGATTAGATTCCACATGCATGTAATAAGGATTAGGTTATAATCTTTTTGAAATCTCTAATACCACCCCTGTGAAATAAGATTACAGTTTCTAGAGCACAACAGATTCAGATTTCTAACAAATTATGCTTAATTTATGTAGGACTACAGAAAGCTCAACATGACACAGAAATGCTGGAATATGCTTGGAAGTCTGTGAAGGAAACTGAGTATTTAATGGTTAGAGAGTTAGAGAAATTTAAATAATCCTACATATCCATATAATTTTCAAGTCCTAACTTTATGAAAGATGTATGGGCAGCGTATAAATCAAGGACACAATGAGCAGTCAGAATAGTTTTTTCAGAGGGCAAGCATCTTAGCATTTGGTTAACATGTTGCTAATCTGAAAGTGTTGAGGGTAAAGAAGGAAGGAGAATGGAAGGGTGATAGTAAAAAAAATAAAACAAACAAAAAAAAGGATATGTTTTCCTATAGGTCAAATACTTGTGATTTGTTTTTCACTTTACAAAAGCAGCAATATTAAGAAAACAGACATAAATTTGTAATCTGTTTTAGAATATTTCACATTAAAAATTATTTGTGCTTGCTTCAGTAAAAACTGATTTTGTGGGGAAAAAAAGCTTTAGGAGAAGAAAAATTGAACTCTATCAGTGCACAAGAAAACTGTTGTAAACAGAGCAGGCCTATGTTCTCCATGTACTCAAGTCTTGCCATTAACTTATCTACAGAGAGGAAAAAAAAAAAAAAAAGGAAAAAAAAAAAAAGGATTTCATTTTTTCTTATTGTTGCATGTTAGCATAAAAGCTACTGTTTCAGTTCAAATGGAAAGAATATATTAATGGCTTTCTTTTTATGAAGCAAGCCAATTTTTATGAAGTATTTCAACATTCAGAAAGTGGTAAATTCAATGAATGGACCAGTAGAAGAGTTCTTTGATGACACACTGTTTAGACAGAGTTTACTCACCTTAAATATCGACTCCGTTTTATCATTCAATTTTAGCTCAATAGCTCTTTCTAGAATAAATAAGTTTGAAATGCTGGAAAGCATACTACCATGCAGATGTGGGCGCTTCAGGTTTGCCCCTTCTTCATTCAAAAGATGGAATGTTAAATGTTTAAGTGCTATAGAACGAACCCTAAAGGAGTAAACAAAAATATAAGGTAGTTTTCCAATATAACTTTAGCTGTATAGTTAAGAATTAATTAATTTACAAAATTAATGGGCAGGTACTTATTCAACTCACTACTGATCAATCTACCTTTCAAATCAACCCACTACATAATAATCAGTTTGGTTTTTAGAGGAGACATTGTTATCATCAAAATTAGAAGATGTCAGGGCATTACTTACAACTGCTGTTTTGAGAAGAGAAGACGCAGAGCAGCCCGTAGTCTAGTAGTTCTAGGGAGAATACCCTCTCCTTTGTCAGAGGTTGTTTCACTCAAAGCAAGGATACGGTTACCTAGCGTATCTTTTGTGTCAGCGTAACCCTAAACCAACCAAACAAAAATTTCCAAAATTAAAAAAAAAAATCTGTTACTAATTTAGCAAATTACACAAGGTAATCCCCTTTTAGAGGCTGAGGGAGGGTGGTGAAGAAGCAATACCTTCTTAAAGTAACCTTTAAGAAAACATTCTATTTCTGCAGATTAATATTGCTCCAGAAAAACAATTTTAAAAAATAACAAATTATTCTGTATACAAATGAAATAAAATTAAGATTTTTGACCAGAAGCTTTACCCTTCAATCTGTCAACATGATGCTGCTTTGTAAGGTCAGTTTCCATTTCAATAACTAAAATTCAGTCCCTACAAGAAAATTACTTCAAAGCATTAAAACCTGTTTTCAGATATTTTGTCAAAGCATTTTCACACAAACAAGACATACCAGAATCAGTTACACCAAGTACTGATACTGCAAACATTTATACCGTGAAATACAATGCATTTTATATGAGCCAGGTAAATAAAGGCCTCTAGTACGCTCTGCTCAGGTATCTACTGTATGTAGCCACTACAGCCACTCTAGAACAGAGGAAAATTCTACTCACAAAAATGAAAGCAGGGATAAATTCTTTCTCACATGCGTAGTCTACAATTTGTATTAATCCCCCACCTCTTTAATCTTGAATATCAATGGAAGATATGTACGTAGATAACACAGAAAACCTGACATTACTGAGTGAGAAAATTCTGAAGTAACCTTCCTCCCACCACTTTCAAGTTCTCAATGTATTTACATATATTTTTCTGTCTGGGTCTTCTATTTCATGGCCCATCTTATTTGCAATTTCTTCCCATTTCTGCCTTGATTTCTGTGCCTTTTATGTAAGAGTTTAGGTTATACAAGCAGGTTTTTTCAACTTATGGTAATACTGTGGTGCAGGCAACAAATGAATATATAGCAATGATGCAAGTAAGTAGGTGTAATTATGAAGAGTGATTTTTTTTTGAAAAAACAGAGACAAAAAGTGTACTTGGATGCATTAACTAATAAATAAAAGACAGAAATAGGGCAAAATAGATACCAGGAAAAACAGAGATCAGATAGGTGCAGCAAAATATCTAATCTGGAAGACTATAGGCAGATCACAGAAGGTAAATTTCTAGCACTAGAGAAAAAACAGTAAAGGATGGAGCAATTAGGCTGAAAATGAGACTGAAAAAGGCAAAAGTTCCCATAAGATCAAGCCAAGAGTAAAAATAATGAAAAGAGAGTAAAAATAATGAAAAGAGAGTAAAAATAATGAAAAGAGAGTAAAAATAATGAAAAGAGAGTAAAAATAATGAAAAGAGAGTAAAAATAATGAAAAGAGAGTAAAAATAATGAAAAGAGAGTCTGCACATTGCTACAGATATAAAGACTAAGGTCTAAGGATAATAGTGACTTGATACTTCCATAATACCAGAAACAAAGAAACCAAAAACCAAATATCAAAATACACAGAAAACACAGCTTACACATATTGCTATTTAGTAAGCACCTGCTTGATCAGAAAACTACATAATTATCACAGAAGTGTTACAATTTTCAAATTTGAGATATGTAGGACATTCTATCAATTATTAACTAAAAGCATGCAATGTTTTAATCTATACCTGGATTATCCACTCATATCTTCAAACCATTTAAGTCCCAATCACTATGTGCTGATCTTTATTACAGTTCAAAGTTTCACATTCTAGAAATACCAGGCTAAAATTTGTCTACAAATTCAGAGAAGTAACTTGGACTGGCATTAGGATACCTATAAAACATTGACATCTGATAACACTAGATACACTACTGTTAATCTATTTTCCATCTGCTACTTAGGTGAATATTCTGTTTGTTGTTTAACATGACAGTGTTGCTGTTTACATGATTTCACACATCAAATTCAGATTAAAGCATTCAGAAGTACCTGTAAAACAGGAAGGATGGGATAGAGGGCCTCAACAAACTTATTCCACGTCAATACTGCCATCACTAATTGTCCCTGCAATAGATGCATCAGAATGGCCTTGGCTGTAGAGTTCACCTGCTCAATAAAAAAAACACAAAAAACACACACACAAAAAAACACTAATGTAACCACTGATGTGTCTAGTCAGCTTATCAGTGTTGTAATTGGAAATATACAACATCTCAAAAAGATAAAATATTGTCACTGCAGAATTTTTAAGATTGTCTGTCACACTAAACACTTGTTACTAGAAAAGCTTCTCAGAGAAAACATGCAAATAGTTCTACCTAAATAGCACCCAAGTATTTTCCCCTTAGAACTCTGGTTTGCCTTTTCTGAAATAAAACAAGTAATTATTTCAATTTATACACGTATTGGTCCCTCTATCCTGCAGGTGAAATGAATTCTGTATCTTTTCTTTCCTGATCCTACATTTCCAGGGCGTTTCATTCCCAGTGGTTCTAACGACCCAGGAAGTGACAAAACCTGTTACATGGCCATTTCACTTTCTTGAGGATAAGAGTCAAACTAAATAACAAATATTTCAAATTGTACATGAATTTATCTGAAGCTCTTTATCAAAAAATAAAAAAGATATGATACAGCATTTCTACTGTATTAATATACCCTGTATACAGCATGTAATTTATACTATATGCAATATTAAAAGTATTTACAAGCTTATTTTATTACCATAATAGGAAGAGGGGGGAAAAAAATGCTTCTCAGAATTTACTCTTCCTTACATAGTGTAAAAATACCTACCTTTAGCAGCTAAAACCCTGTATTTTATGCCAGAGCTAAAAATCCTCTCACCACAGGCAACAAGAACAGCCTTTTAATAATATCACTCTAGCCTATCTTTAAGGGACTGGATTTGTAAAAATCACATGGCAAATCTTAAGCCCAACCTTGGAATACAAGGTTCTTCTCAATTTCTTCTCACTGTCACATGCCTGAAAGATTAAGCTGATGCTGTATGAAAACTTAAATAGCATATATACATTCAAGAAGTAAAAATAAAAATATGCTTTGATATGATCGTTACATTTTTTTGAACAAATACGCGTAATTAGGTAAAGAGAACAAGATGAGATAATTTTCTGAACACGCATTCTCTGTCTCAATGATCATTTAAAATTCAGTATCAGTTGAAACCTGTTTGTTATGCTTGACCAATCACTAAAAGAGAAATCTAGCTGTGTTTCTAGTAAGACATCCAAGGGATTAGTCAAACAAATTAAATGCTTTCCTTGGAAATTACATAGAAAGTACAAATACATAGCACATTATCAAAGATATTTTACTTCTTTTAAAATGCTAACATCCAAAAAAATCACTTCTAAGTGGAATTGTGCATAGCGCTGTGTTAAAAAAAAAAAAAAGAAATCTTGTTTCAGAAGACAAGCTAAAAAAAATAAATAAAAATTTGTTAGTCAATCTTCTTTCTCCTCTAACTGCAGGGACCTTACAGATCAGCTATAAAGTAGTTACAAATAACCTAAGTGATTTTTCCCCTCTCAGAACTCCCTATTTAGCTTCACACATAAACTAGGAAATAATGGATATATACGTTAAGCATTCATGCATATAAATGAACCCAAAGGAAACTTAGTCCTATTCTATAATACTATAAAACACTTTTATGAGACTCAGGTAATTAAATTTAAACACAGATGTGTTTGTAGTGATGAAATAGATTTTTACAGCAAAGACATTTCAGATTTAAAATGTCTTTTTGCTGTTCAACCAATGCACATATTTCAGAACTCATCCCACCTTTACAAAGACTTGAGACTTCACATTTTCCATAAATGTAAAGCATCACACACACTATTTTATCATATGCACATTTTATTAGGGCTGAATATATTACAGAAAAAGAGTAAAAAATATAGCTTATCTCATTTTTCATTGGTCTTTATTACATTTAATAGCATCCTGTGCTCAAAACATTATTTTGTCTCCAAATTCATCATTAAAAAAGTTGTTCCATTTACTACAACTTTACTGCTTGAGTAGCTTTTCTATATAGAAGAAACCTTATGCAGTCAAAACTTCAGGTAAGTCTCAGACCACTATGAAGAATATCAACACCTACTTTGCATGCACATCAACTTACAGCTACTAAACATAGTACCTCATTCTTATCTTCCTGAAGTCCAAACGTACAGATTTCATATAAAACTTTTGGATGAAGAAGAAAATGTACTCCATGGCAGACTGAAGACACAGGCTTAGCAATATTATGAATACCTAAACAGTCCTTCAGTAAAAATAAAGTTGGTTAGTTTAAAAATTTAAGACAGTCCCCAACACTATATCTTGTATTACAGACTGACTGAATTTGTCATGCAATTGAAAGGCTCTCTTCATGCAGCTTGGAAGACTACAGTTCTGAAATCTAAACATTACAGCCCTGGAAGAAACACCGTCATTATAGATGACAGACTGAAAAATCCTGTTGCTACAGAGGACTAAGAAATACAAAATAATTTTGTTTTTATTTTAAATAATAGTGAAAATAAATTAGACAAACTTTATGAGCTGTTTGGTATTACATTAAAATAAGCAAAACGTAAAACAGGGAGGTAAAAATCCCACAAAAAGATACAAGTGTCATTCAGTGGAAGTAGGGTTTTTTCTGCAAAAGACTAGTTCAAGCACCTTTGTACATTAGTGAATTGTGCTATAAGCTCAGTAAGTTTTCCTGATGTCCATTATAGAAAATAATAATTACAACAAAGTATTTTATCAAAATAGAAAAGTGAATTTTATTTTGTGAGACAATATTACTGAATAGCTTATGAATATGACACTGTCATTCTTAATATAGAACACGCCCATACTTTTAGGAAGTTCACACTCTTTATCCCTTGGGCTATCTTTATAAAAAAATAAGGCAGTGACAAAATAGCCACATAAAACAAAATCAGAAATAAAACAACACCCCAGCCCACCCA